TTTTATGGACGAGTGGTGACGTCATTGAGCACGATGGCGGGATGCGATGGGCCGCTTTCCAGAAAACCTTTGAACCCGCGCCGCCGCTATCATACCTATCTCGCGAGATCGCATTACAGTAGCCCCATTATCCTTTCGTGGCCCGCGGCGCCCGCCGTCGCCCCTGTTCAACTCACTACATAAACCGACGCCTTCCCCCTTCCCCCTGCCTCGGCTCCCCGCGCGCAACTCTCTCCTTCGCGAGTCCCGCCGCGCACACGACGGGCGCGTCGCTCGCGTACGTCCTCGCCAGGCGGCGTGCGCGCGCGCGCGCCCCCTTGTGGGGTGCGGCGGGCCTTCGCCTCCCGCCGTGTCCTCGCGACACGGCGCCTCCCTTCATCGCAGGGGTGATGAGCCTGGGCGAGGACGCTGAGCTCTCCGCCGCGTGCACACATTTCGTTCCGCAAGGTTCGATCCACCCTGTGTAGCATTGGCGGACGACCATGTGCGAGCGCCGCCCCCCCTCTGACCTGCGCATTGACACCGAGTGAAGGGCCGCCTAGTTCCAACTTTACCACCTTGGCACATACGTCATAGCTAATCCCCTAATAACGCTAGCCGAGGCCCCGTCGCACGGCCCTGCGCCACACACACACACACCCCTAGTCTAGTCCTGCGCTCGCATCCTGGCAGCCTCGGCGTGCCCGTCGAGCCCCTCGGCTCGCGCTATCCTCTCCGCGTCAACCGCGATCCTCTTCACCGTCGTGTCGTCCAGCCCGACCACCGACATTACCTTGATGAAGTCGAGCACGGATAGTGGGCTAGAGTATCTGGCGCTGCCGCCCGTCGGCATCACGTGGCTCGGGCCCGCGACGTAGTCCCCGAGCACCTCGCAGCTCGCCTCCCCTAGAAACAAGCCCCCCGCGTTCTTCATTTTCCCAACCACATCCCACGGCCCCTTGACACACAACGACACATGCTCGGTCGCAAACTCGTTCGCCATGTCCACGCACTCGTCCATGTCCTTTCCCACAACGATCCCGCCCTGATTGGCCATCGAGTGCCTCGCCACCTTGGCCCTGGGGAGCTTGTCCACCTGCGTCTCCACCTCCTCCTGCACCTTCTTCGCCAGGTCCGCGCACGTCGTCAGCAGGATCGGCACGGCCAGGTAGTCGTGCTCCGCCTGCGCGAGCAAGTCCGCCGCCACGCACTCGGCATTGGCCGCCTCATCCGCGATGACCACCGCCTCGGTCGGGCCGTACACCCCATCGATCCCGACCACGCCAAACACCTCGCGCTTGGCCATCGCCACGAAGATATTCCCGGGCCCGACGATCTTGTCCACGCGCGGCACGGTCTCCGTGCCGTACGCCAGCGCGCCGATGGCCTGCGCGCCGCCGATCGCGAACACGCGCACGCGCACGCCGGGCAGCTCGTTGATCACTGCGCACGCGGCAAGCGTCACGGCCGCGATGTCCGCGCCGCCGCCGCGCAGCGGCGGCGACGCCACCACCAGCTCCTCGCACCCAGCCACCACGGCAGGCAGCACGCTCATCAGCACCGTCGACGGCAGCGGCGCCGTCCCGCCCGGGACGTAGAACCCTACGCGCTGGATCGGGCGCACCGCCTGCCCGAGCACGCCGCCCAGGTCGTTTGTGAACCACGAGGTCACGGGCTGCTTGCGGTGGAATGCCACCACGCGGTCGCGCGCGACGCGCAGCGAGTCCACCACGGCGGCCGGCGTCGCCTTGACCGCCGTTTGAAGGGCCGCGACGGGCAGCTCTGAGCCGGCCGAGATGTCCGCGCCGTCGATGCGCGACGTCCAGTCAATGAGGGCCCCGTCGCCGGACTCGCGGATTGAAGAGAGGATGGCTTGCACGCAGGCGAGAGGCGTGGTCGGCGCCGAGAAGAGCGCGTCGATGCGCGTCTGCACGTGCGGCGGGACCGTGCTGTCTTGTAATAGGCCGCGGCGCAGGATGGAATCACGCGCTTCGGTCGCGGTGAGGATTCGGGCGCACGGGTTGGAGGATGGGTCGGCCGGCATTGTGGTTGGGGAGGAGTGCGTGTGGTAAGTCTTCGGGATGATGCGAGTGCGGTAGCGGCGGACGAGGGGTGGGCACCGGACGTTCCTAACGACGAGCACGGTGTGAGGGCCGTTCCTAACAGGGCCGTTCCTAACGACGAGCACGGTCGCGAGGGAGGTCAGGCGGAATTCGTGTGGGCGGAGTCGGAGAAATGACAGGTTCGTACACGTGTGTGATCGTCGGTGTGAGAACAGCTGGCGGTTGGTGAGTGGATGATGAAGTTGTGATGGTGCAACGAATGAAAAGCGTTTGGAGGAATATGGCGCAGCCAATGACAAGGTGGATCTCGTGTGCTTCTGTGGGAGCACATTGGTGACGAGCTGAAGAGCTGAATCGCGCCGTTGGCGCAATCCCTCCGGAGCACGACAACTTTAACAGACCTCATTCACCCACATCGATACGTCCCAACGATCCAACCTTTCACACACTTCCTCTCACCCCCAACTGCCCCCCCTAAGCTCACCATGGATGCTGCCTGGGACACGACAACGCAAGAGGTGCACGGCGGGCAGACCTGGTCCGCCTGCCCCAACTTTGTGTGCGACTTCTCCGTGACCACCAATGCCTTCGGCCCGCCCGCCGCTGCCCTGGCGGCCGCCACCAAGGCCCTCTCCACCATGCACCACTACCCCCCCGCCGACAACGCCGCCGCGCTCGCGGCCCTCTCCGCCTTCACGCGCTGGCCGCAAGAGCAGCTGCTCCTTGGCAACGGTGCGTCGGAGTTCATCGACCTGGTCATGCGCGCCCTTCCCGAGGGGCCGTTCAAGCCGGGGCCGTATATCGCCGCGTACAAGGAGTACCACCGCGCCGCCCGCGCCGCCGGGAGAGACGTGCTCGCCCATGACGATACCACCACCGATCCCGCCGTCACCGTCATCATCCACCCCAATTCGCCCACGGGCGACTGCATGAGCCTGCAGGACCTGGACGCCTTAGTCAGCAGCACCAAGGGCGTCGTCGTTGTTGACGAGTCCTTCATGCCGTTCCGTGGCGCGACGTGGCGCGACGAGTCCGCGCTCTGCTTACTGCCACAGCACCCGGAGCGCCTCATCGTGCTGGCGAGCTGGACCAAGATCTGGAGCTGCCCTGGTATCCGTATTGGGAGTATAGCGAGCTCACCAGAGTGGACGCGCACCTTCAAGAAGCTCCAGACCCCGTGGAGCGTCAACGTGTCGGCACAGGCGTTTACCGTCGCCGCGTGCAAGGACGATGCGTACATGAGGCAGACGTGGGACTCGTTGCCGAAATGGAAACTTGAGACGCAGGAAAGGATCAGGGGCTTGGGGTGGAAGGTGAATGAAACTTCACCGAGCTGGGTGCCCTGGGTTTTCGTGCATGTGGGGGATCGAAAAGTCGCTGCAAAGGCTGTCGAGGTGGCGATGAAGGTGGGATGCCCAATAAGGCCGTGTGCTAGCTTCGGACTCCCAGAGTATATTCGGTTGGGCGTCAGGAGACCGGAGCATCAGGCGGTGCTCTTCAAGGCATGGAAGGCTGAGCTCAAGCTGGGTGCGGCCAACGGTTGTAGTGCGTAGTTGTAGAGGTGGTGGTGCGGGGGGAGGAGGAGGGGGGGATGGGTTTTTGAGCCCAGGTTAGGGGAGGATCTCGGTTTTTCTTGTTTGACGCATGTCATCATCACTTTCCATACGTTTGATTGGAATACGGACATGCTCTTCATACGTGTGTCGTGGAGTCAGAAGTGCGGTGGACTCAACTGCCTTGTTTTTTTTTCTTCATTTTGCGTTCAGAACGCAACGCCTGACTCTGACATCTAACTAATGTCACAGCCGCAGCGAAGTCTGTGCGAGTGTATTCTAAACTCCTTTTGGTTCACCACAAATGAGCGTTGCCGTTATTTACAAATCTCCTTCAATAGTTTAATGTCACTCATCCGACGATAGCCAAATACTACCGCTAAGACCCAGCTGCAAACAGCCTGATACTTCCATATGTTACACATGCAAACAAAGCTTCCGTTCCCTTAGGAACCTTATCCAGTCTCGCCCTCCGCGGCAGCCGTTGAGCCGCGCAAGCGCGCACGGTTGCCCCCTCGCTGTCATAGTTCTGTTCAATCTCAAACGTTTTCCATTGCGACCCACTCCCCAATCTGTTTGTGTTCCACATCCTCACCTTACCCTTCGCATTTCTATCTGCCGCTACTACCATCGGCTGCCCACCATCGCCCCCTCCTAATACTCCTACTTGTTCGAAAGGCAAAGTTTGGCTGTGCCCTTGCAGCGGTTTGCCGACGGTTGCGGAGAATGTGAACTTCCCATCTTCCCGCCACCGCAAGCCCTCGTTTAACAGAATGGAGCTTTTCCATTCCCCATCTACTCTTCTTCGCGACGATACTGCAATCAGGCCAGCGTCCACGGCTACACTGCAGATGGAAGCACCCTCCAAATCCGCACAGTAGAAATCACTCACAATTGGCGCTGTGAAGAGTCCTTCACTATACCTCACTCCGAAAAGACCAGAAGGCGTGCCTGCAAGTAACACAAGATCGTCATTCACGGTGCACTCCCTCACTGAGTGGACACCCCTCGCTCCGCCAAACGCGAGTTGGACGCTGGAAAGCTGGCCGCCAGCCAGGTTTCGCACATCGTATGTCAACACCTTGCCGTCAACGGCGCCCACCACTACACAGTTTGGTTTGCGCTCTAACCATGTTGCAGAGAGAAGCGACGAGCCACAATCAACATTTGCAGCAAGGTTGAGATTAGGAGCAAGAATTGTTAGCTTGCGGCCCGCATCAGCCACGGCGACGGAACGGTGTGAGGGAGATGAGGGACGTGTGTCGACTGCAATAGCATTGACACGGCGATTGCCCACAGCGCGTGACGACTGGGCGATGGCACAGCGTCCAATGTCGAGACGGGAGAGACGCTGAGAGACGGCGACGCTACCACTCATCCTCTCACCAAACAGAACACCACTGTTGTTGTCAAAAGCAACGGCTACGGTATCGCCATTGGTGTTGCAGTCAGCCAGTAGAGTCGGGTGCCTCGTGCACTTTGCGGGGCCACCGCGGGTTCCGCCAAATGTGGGGACGGGTTTTGGGACGCGTTTCCGGAGTTCTTTCATCTCACGTATGGCCTGATCTGCAATCCTTCTCGTCTCTTTCAACTTGAGCTTTGTGTATTCGTGGCTTTCTGTTTCTTGCCTTATTCTCTTCTGAAGACTTTGGATTTCGGACGTATCCGTGGCGGCGAGTCGCGTAGAGACGCCAAAGATGTATCGCAAATCTTTAATACGAGCGGAAGTCTTGCAGTTGGGACATTGCCTGCCGCGTCTAGATCTTCCAAGCCATTGTCTGATGCAGGCATACCCGAAGAGGTGACCGCACGGTAGACAGCATATTTGGTGGGGGCCAGCGGAGGTCCAGTTCTCAAGACAAATGATGCAGAGATTATCGTCATCGGAGGGCTGGGAGGGGGTAAACGGTCGCTTCGGAACGCGCTTCGGGGAAGTCGGGCTGGGTTGGCGGACAGGAGAGCGGGGGTGTGCGCCTGATACGACAATAACATCTGCATTCTCATCAACTTGCAGAGGGGAAACACGCTCGGATTGTGCAGGGGTTGCTGCGGGGGCGTCGCTCTCCTCGCTTTCGTCGCTGTTGTATTCGTCATCCTGCGAACTCACATGAGGCTCTGCTGGGATTTCTGAGGCACTGTAAGAAGAGTTGTCTTCGTGTTCCGAATCGCCATCCGATGGGGTGGAAAGTGTTAGGGTGCGCTGGTGGTTGCCGCCATGCCCAGACGACATGTCGATGCGGCTGTGCGGGGAGGATGGGTGCTAACACTGTTGTGGGTTTGAATTCACATTCGGATGTGCTGAAGGCGCGACTCGGACGTCTCATCGTTCTTACCCCCCTTTCGACTGCAATTTTGACCTCAATTTTATCCCCTTCAAATTTTGCACCATCACGGCATGCCCTGCGTGCCGTATCTATGGGACCCTCGGGCGATGGTTCTCACATTCATCTGCGTGCTCTGTGAGGAGCACAATAAGGAGGCGGGTTGTGCAGCTCTTCGTGGGCGAGCCTTAGCTAGTGCGGGAGGCAAGTGCGGTGTAGAGCGAACATGGCTTCGGGACCAGTTTTGGACGGTGTAGCCATCATGGAGAATGCTTGTCGTTTGCCAGAGCGCTGCGAAGACATAACTCTGGACACGGCACGTCGAGTTCGGGAAGGCCGTAAACATTGCCAACATGGCCAGCATGCTTTAAAAAAAGTAGAACAAACTGGATGAGGAAGGCGCAGACTCTCTTTCAGCAAAGACGACAGGGGCTCAGTTTTTCTGACATGGTTTCTGCATTACTTTTTCGCGGCGAATCCATAGGTCATTCATCGATAGCGTCATTCAGTCATCTATAGTCTACCTCTAGCTCTTCCCCCACTGCCGCAAAGCACCGGGCAACCGTGTCCCAGCTTCGCCTCGCACTGCGTCCCCCGCGATGAGAGCTCCGTCAGCCTCCTTACTGCGAGGAGCATTCCGCCTCCTCTCAACCTCTCCCCCTGTTCCGCGCAAGCAAAGCCTTCGCACCTTGCGCGCCTCCTACAACAAAGGTGAGCCAATCACCGTTCTTACGGCTTACGACTATCCGTCTGCGCTCCACGCCGATCTAGCCGGCGTCCAGTGCGTCCTTGTCGGTGATTCCGTCGGCATGGTAGTCTTGGGGCACAGAACTACGCAGCCCGTCACCATCGCGGACATGATTCACCACACTCGTGCCGCACGCCGTGGCGTTGCATCCGCTTTGCTTGTTGCAGACCTCCCCTTTGGTTCCTATGAGCGTTCTCCGGCCCAGGCAGTAGACACCGCCCTTCAAATTATCAAGGAAACTGGTGCAGACGCTGTTAAATTGGAAGGGGGCGTGTCAAGACAGAAATCAATCGCAGCTATCGCTGACGCCGGCATAGCTGTCTTCGGTCATGTCGGCCTCATGCCACAAGCGGTATCCAACCTTGGTGGCTTCCGAGCCATGGGGAGGACCAGCAAAGAGGCTATCTGCGTTTTGGATGATGCACGCGCTGTACAGGACGCGGGTGCGTTTGCGCTCGTCGTCGAATGCGTTCCGAATCGCGTCGCTGATGTCGTTACCAAGGCGTTGGACATTCCAACCATTGGCATTGGCAGTGGCAACGCCTGCAGTGGACAAGTGCTCGTGTATCACGACATGCTCGGCATCTTGAACCATCCACATCACGCAAAAGTCGCCCCAAAGTTTTCAAAACAATTCGCGGGGCTCGCCTCCCATATACATGAGGCCATACTTCAATATTGCAGCGAAGTTAAACAACGTGACTTTCCCGATAAACTGCACTCCCCGTACAGAATCCCGGACGAAGAGTTCGAGCAGTTTCTGCACGACGCAGACAAGTCTTTGCTCAAAAACCTCAGAGGCAGGCAAACAAAAGGAGCAGAAACAGAAAGTGGCAAGCATGGAGGCTCTGAAGCCACGGACGGGATCTCTCTCTACTAATCCATCAGTCCAAGGAGTGATTGAATTTGAACAGCGATAGCATGTATCTATGAGTCGCGTAACCTCAATATTCCATGGTGTTACAATGGTTTTTCTGACAAGACGCCAAAACATCGACGTACTATAACCGCTCTCCCACTCCACCGCAAAGACGATACACTGCTCTAGCTATTTCCAGCGCCATCTCATTGGCCTTACCTTCGCGCTTCACTGGCGCCTCCGCATATACTCGGACCACATCCTCAGTGCCACTGGGCCGCACAAACGCCCGACATCCTTCTTCGTCAGACGCTTTGGCGATCGCATCGCGAAGGGCCGCTGGCTCCTTGACCAGACGATCACAGTCTTCGGTTACGATTACGCTCTTATCCGTGACCCGAACCACTACGTTGCTGCTCCGTCTTTCCTCGTAAAGTCGAAGCCATTCAGACGTTGTCATATCCTCACGAGACAATATTGCCAAAATGAGGAGGAGGTCTGCTACACCATCGCCAACGGCTTGGTTTGCTAACGCACTGACGGCCAGTAAGGTGGACAGACTGCGCTTTTGCTGAGAGCCGTCATGTTCACCAGCCAATTTGGCCTTTGCAGATGTTAGCTCGCCAACCGCTTTGTCACTAAACAGCACAGTTCCATGTCCGTTCGGCTCCCAGTACACACCGATGTCAAACTTCCTGACGGCCTTCTCTAGGTGTTTTACACCTGTTTTCGCGGTGACTACTTGAACCCCTTGGAGCTTTGATAGAAATTCCGTGGCCGCACCGTTCGAATATGCAGTCTGAGCAACCGCAAGGCTAAGCCCACCGACGCCCCCCTGCTTCATATGCTTTGATATAAATTGTGTGACGAGAGCCGCAAATCGATCGCCATCCGCAAGCGCAATCCCGCCATCTCTCTTCTCAAACATGACCAGTCGGTCAGCATCACCATCCAAAGACGCCCACATCTTGCATTTAGGGACAGCTTTTGAATAGATTTCCGGCATCTTGCGCTGCTTCTGCACGAAATCGGCACCGCAATTCTTGTTGAGCGGGCCGTCATTAGCACGGTTCACTACAGCGATAGCTGGAAGTGCCGAACGAATCGCATCGATAGCCACTGCTCCCACTCCATTGGCACAGTCGACGGCAAGCGGGGGTAGCACAGCCCGCTTCTCCCGAACAAGCTTACCAAAAGCTCGTCGCAGGGCCGTGTAATAGTCCTCAAGGGCCGAGGCCTCCTTTCGATCTCGGGCGCGCAGAGAAAAATGAAGCTGAGGAGTGGTAACTAGCCCCAGCTTTATCACTGTGCCTCCCATGACCTCGACACCCTGACACGCCAGATCGACGAGCACGGCCGAGCTCTTCCTGGTGTCCCAACCAATGAGGACAACGGCCTTTCCCTGCCGCGGTACATCTTCTAACTTGACCATCTTTGCAAGCGCCGCTGGCGGATTATCAAAAGCGTTAACAAACTCTGTGGCGGCGACTTCCCAATCCTTATGCAACATAGAGCCGTCCGGCTCGACGAGCTTGAGGCCGTTGTCTGGAGCCGGGTTGTGGGAAGCGGTGACCATAACGCCGACGGCGCGACCGGCCAGGGAATGAGATCTGCACGCGGCGAGCATGCCACAGCGGAGGACGGCCTCATGCAAGGTTTCAGCTTTGCCGCGGAAGCCAGCTGTGCCGTAAGAGAGCGGGCCGGGCTGTGAGCGGTGTCCTAACAAGCTGTTGAGGTCGCTCTGTAGATCAGAGACCGCTTGCATGATGGTTGGGGGGTGTTCGTACGGATAGCGAGTAGAGAGGTTGATGAAATCTCCCAGATGGGAGGACTTGGAGTTGACCTGCGTCTCTCGGCGCCGGGAGGACGTGGGAGGGGGGAGAGGATGCATGGACGAGGTGGTGAGGTCAAGGTGTCAGGAAGGGGTTCAAAATCGGTGGAAATTATGGGCCATATTTAATCCACCAGGGGCTCAATCAAAAACGCATGGATGACGGTCTTGTTGCCCGTAGTCTTTGTTTAGCAGAAGCAGTGTTTGAATTCTCGTGCACGTCATTTGTCCTCAACTATTTGTCAGTGCTAACACGTGTACACGTCGTGAACACGTAGCAGTCGGGCCAGCCGACGGCGCAGAGCAGTGCCCGAGCGATAACTGCAAGCCCCGATAACTGCAATTACTGTACCCGACAAATAAAACGGCAAGTGGGGCAATATCTCCGGAGTCACTCAAAAATTACTAAAAAATAGGACCGTTTCAGATCCGATAACTGCAACGTTTGTAACATACCTCCAGAGCGTCATATGAGAACAAGCCCTGGTCGGATAGCCCTGGTCGGATAGACAGGTGCAACTAGCCCCCCCCCCCCCCCCCCCCCCCCTGCACCTGTCGTTCATCGAATGTGCAAGTACAGCCCAGTTTCACGGTGCTCTGGTCTACGGTACCACTCAAAAAAAAAAAATGCAAAAACAATCAAGAGAATGTACACAACCCCCCCGCCACCTCACAAGAGACCCTGCTTAATAAGGTCTGTGTATGTCTTCTTATTCAGTATGTTTCCCTCCTGATCTTCAAATTCCATCTCGGCGTCCTCATCAAATGCCGCTGCCTCGCTTTGCTTGGTTAGCTTTTCATTTAGCATCCTGGCATCTTGAATGCGTGTGATCATCAGAAACGCCTTGGAGTATCCAATCCCTAAACACTTCAACCCCTGCACGTGTTGCGAGTCAGTGAAATGCCGCTCGAAAGCCCGAGGACCTTTGTAGGTCGCGTTACCACATATCTCACATTTGAATTCATGATTAAGCCCATGCAACCTATACATCCAGTATGGGATGGGTTTCCCGTCCCACCCCAGTGGCACGTCCTTCGGGTTGTAGAGCGTGCTCTCCATTTCTTCGTCCTCATCAGCACCCGCCTTCGCCCTTTCAAGCGCCCCTTCCGCAACAGCCTCATCAGCAATTCGTTCCGCTTCAATTTCTGCATAGCTCAAACTCAGCTTTTTACGCACATTTGCCACAGTGGCTCGTTTCTCTTCTGCCAACACTTCCTCCACCGCAAACTTCACGGCGCCCTCAAGTATCACCCGTTCTCCAAACTTTCCGTTTCTGGCTGCCTTCAGTAATCGCGCCGCGCGATCCTCTGGTCGGCCCCCGCACTTCTGCCCGAGGGATACCAGTTCCTTCTTCACACCGTCGGCCCCAAGCTCGTCCAGCACTGCTTGTGGGCTTGCCATTCTATGGGAGATGTCTTTCAATTTTTCCTCCATGGCTTTTCGCGTGTTTGCTTCGGCCACCTCCATATGCTCCTCGACACGGTCCATCGGATGCGCGCGCTGTGCAAAATCCACGCAGTACGCCAACAGATCTGAAAGATATCTGCTGTAGACGTGGGAGCTTCGAACGGATGGCGGGACAGCGTCAAAGTCAGTGACAGCTTTGTCAACGTATTCGTAATACTCAATTTGATTCTCCTTTCCTTGCTTAGCCTTGGACATGACGTTCAGATAGGCTGTGTAGTGCCGCATGAAATCAAGATAGCGCCCGTTGCCCTCCTCGCCAGAAAACACAACTGGATGATGACTGGCATGGAGCAGAGCCAAATCGCGCTCGCCTTCTGTCGGAACCGGGCGGGGCTGCGTAACGCCGAAAGTGACCGAACGATGAGCGTCGCGAACTTGGCGCAGCTTTGCGTAGAAAGCAGAGAGTGGGTCGGGCGCTGACAGGTCGGGGTTGACTCGGTGGAGTGTATCGTCATTTGAGTACAGCGAAGACAAAGATAGGGTCTTTTCCGCGGCGAGGTGAACAAGTTGTTGGGTGAGCTGTTCGGCGGAACGAAGCGTTGGGAGTGGATGGGAAAGCGGGGCGAGACGGGGGTGGGAAATTGGGATGGAGGTTCGAGACTGGAGGGCGCAGGAAGCTAGATGTTTGAGGGTTTCGATATCTTCGTGGGTTTGACGCATGTCCTCCAGGAGGGAGGACATCTTGGGAGGAGAGGGCTACAGATCTATATCTACCTGACGGGACCGTATCATCGGCAAGGTGAGGACCTTTGGGGATGATCGCGAATAAATAAGAAGCGGTTCCCACGCACCTTTCTTTTTAAAAAAATGTTATAATTCTCTTAATAAATTTGACCAATGCTATAATCACAACCCACTCGACACCCCGACACGTCTACACCGACATCGACTTATTCCGCGCAAACACAAACCAAAGGCAAGAGCTTGGCTCTACCGTCCCGGCTCGGCAGCCGCTTTCCTCTCCTTCACCGCCGGCAACTATGGGACCGCTCGGCGCCTCAATTCGCGCCTTGCGACCTCGCTGTGGCCTGCTTGAGCCTGACATTCCTCCCGTCGCGGTCCGCGTCTCCCGCTACGCAACCATCTCCAAGGCTCTGAGCCGCAGTGCTGTCGATTCCCGCCATTGTACAGAGAAAAAGCTTTCCAAATTGGTTCTCAGCCTGCGCAGCTTTATGGACGAGCATTTTGGCCGCACCGCGAAGCCGGAAACCCGCACCAAGCTCACCATGTTCCCCACATCCATCTTCGCCGACTTTTCCGAGTTTGGTCCCCTCTGCGCCTTGCTAAAGGTGTGCTTTCGGTACGCGGCCGAACATGGCCTGCTCCCACTAAACTTTGATGATGCAAGCAAGGAAGATGATTTGCTGCGCCTAATTTTCCATGCTGAAAAGACTCTCAAGAAAGATCATTTTTTCCGCGTCATCAAGATTTTCATATCCCCACTCATCGAGCAGGAGGAGTCTGAATCGCTGAGAGCAACCGCTCAGAGACATGGTGCTGCGGTCGTCTCCAACTCTCACGTCGCCACACATCTCATCTACCCTGACCCCGACGGCACCCGCGAGAACCAGACAGACGGACAAGCACTCGTACGGGTGCTTGAACGGACAGACTTCCGAGGTGAAACTTTTGCCTTTCTCCACTGGCTTCATCACCCGGACTCATACAACGACTGGGTTCCGGCTTCCGAAATTCTCGGTCATGTTTACATTCCGAGACGAAGAAAAGAAAGAGAACAATGGCACGTGCAAGCACGATGGCTGCGTGATTTGGCTCTCTACAATGACTGGATGAATGAACTGGACTATGAAATGCCCCAAGACTTTCCGGATCTTGCCGGCCTCTCCCCAAAAACAGTCGAACTGGATGCAAAAGGGCACGAACCGCGCGCGCTTGTGAAAATACGTCTGCGAATGCCAAGGGAAGATGAAATTGGCAAGCAAGCGAGCCTCCTTGGGGCATCGAAAGGAGTTGCGCTGCCGCCTCATGCAAATGGCTTCGCAGATGCCAGTGACATGCGAGATGCAAACGGGGATCACGCCATGATAGATGTTGGTGACTTATCTGATGAAGATGCCGACGGCTATCGTCATCCAAATGAATCCAATGGTTCGTCAAGCGCTCCCGGCAGTGGGACAACTACAGGCCAGACCACGAAAATATCTGTGGGTGATGGCGTCTTCATCCCTTTTTTTTCTAAGTGGTTTCGGATACAGTCTGTGCACGATATAGAGCGAAGGGCATTACCGGAATTCTTCGAGCAGCGATATGCTTCGAAAAACGAGGATACCTACAAAGAAACACGCAACTTCATGATCAGCACATGGCGTCAGGGCCGCAACGAATACCTTTCGAGTACAGCTGTGAGAAGGCATCTAGCCGGGGATGCATGCGCAGTGTTGCGTTTACACGGATTTCTTGAGCACTGGGGTCTCATCAACTACGAGTGCTCAGCGCAAGGAGCTGCACCAGCTTCTTTCATCCCCCCTCCACGCGCTCTCCCTCTCCGTGCAGGGCATGAAAGAGACGATTCTGTCCGAGCCAATGCTCAGATTGTTCTTGACGACGGCAGCAGGCCGGCAATAGAAGGCGGGAAAGTTGTGAAATATGGCAGAAATGATGAAGTTGTTGGCAACAGCACATCAGAGGCCGTACTAATTCGTGACAGTGACAGGATGGGTCAAGCTTTGCCTATCGCAGAGTCGCCAGCGCGAGAGCCGATCGAGTATCATTGTGATTCATGCGGAGTAGATTGCTCAGTGTTGAGATTCCATTGCGCAACGAAAGCGGATGTTGATCTCTGTGCTTCATGCTATCAGAATGCAAAGTATTCTTCCTCGATGAAGCCTCGAGATTTCATTCAAATGAACTCGGCTGGTGCTCATGGTGGACCAGATGAAACAGAAGGAGATGTTTGGACAGAAAGTGAGACACTACTTCTGCTGGAAGCGTTGGAGATGTACGGCGACAACTGGACCCTTGTGTCGGAGCACGTTGGGTCGAAGGGAAACAGCCAATGTGTGATTCAGTTCCTTCGGCTTCCCATTGAAGACTCCTTCCTCAATACCACGGCGAGGTCGTGGTGGTCTGTTGCGCCTCCAGGAAATGGTGATGAAAGTTCGCCTCTCGACATGCTTCGAGCAGCAGGTGCCCGCGAGGCGGCCTTGGCCAAGGTGAACACCACAAAATCTTCAGAGATATCTCTATCTGGGCAACCACTAGTATTTGGTGACCAAATTAGCACCATCATGCCATTTGCGAGTAAGTTGGTATCGCTTTGTCCCCCAGATACTGTGAAGGAGTTAACTCGGGTCTTTGGGGTGGGGAGCTCGAGAAAACGGCAAAGGAGCTACCTGGATGTGTTTTTGAAGGAAAGTTGTAGAAGAACGGACAAAAACAACGACAGTGGAAAGGAGGAATCACTTGAGGACCTGGTAGGATGTTTCACGACTAATCGTGTCTACAAGAAGATGCGAAAAATGATCCCTACTCCTGCGAGTTTTCTCCGAACTGAGAAAGGGGATAAAGTGGGACGTGCAACATTCTCCCTTGTCAGACACGGAGCAATCCAGAGCAACGAAGCCATTCGACTGCTACTCGACCCATCGCCAAGCGCTCTACACCAGATGGAAAGGCCCGACCGCGGAAGTGCAGCTGAGCATGTGGAGAGAGCAGCACCAGCTGTAGAAAAAGCCAGCAAAACAAAACCAAAATGCGATGATCACGACATTTCCGAAAGTGAGAAGCCGGATTCGGCATCTGATGAAGGGATAGAGGAGCCCGCAGCCTTGGCAATAACATCGCTGAGTGCGGCTGCCGCTTCAGCGTCGTACATGCAAGAGCTTGAAGAAGCTGAAATCGATCGTTTGTACTCATTTTTGTCAGAAATTCGGGTGCAACTCATTGAGCGACGCATAGCACACTTGGAATCAATCACAGAATACGAAAGCTTTGCAGATGGATACAAGGAAAAAAAACTGAACGAAGAGATGTCAAGGTCTATTCTCCGGCGAAAAGAATCATTGTTGTCTTGTCAATATTGAAGCGTTTGCATGATCGCGATGACGCACCTTATTCGTGCACTGTACATAACACAACGAGTAACCACGATGTAAAGGAACTCCGGGGTTGTTCTCGCACCACTGGAAGCACGCTATGACCCTGAGCAATTGGGAATTTCGAAACTGTTGCTGATACTTTTTTGAGTCGGAAGAGCTTGCCATGTGGTAAGTTTTTTGTAGCTGGACCGAAATGAATAAAGTGTACACTCTCACATCTTTTCTTATATTGGATCAACCTACGCCCGCTCCAATCCACCTCTTTCACGTTGGTTCAAGCAAGCATACCTTCGCTTCCACTTCGACGCCCTGTCCTACCCTCTTATGCCAACCTTCAATGCATCCATTGCACTCTATCCCCTCCTACCTTCTCTTCCACGCATCCCCTCCTACCTCCTCTTTCACCCAACCCCCCAAGAAAAAAATATATATACATACATGACAGTTGTCAGAGGTTTGTTTAGAAACAGGATTCCTGACAAGCCCTATCGCATGTGATTCGGGTAGAAATTTCATGAAACGTGTAGATTTCTGATCTCCGCCCTGCACCAAGCAATGATTGCTAGTAACGCCAGAGCTGGTCGACAATACAGAAAAAATGAAAGTGAATCAACGTGTACAACAGGCGTCTCTCCAATTTAAGCCTGCGTCCTCCCAACTCTCACCACCTGCCCCGTTCCTTCCCGCCTCGTCGCCATCTGGCCGCCACACCATCTGGACAGAGCAGCGGAGGGATGAGGGCAGCCGCCTTTGCCACGTCAGCTCTTCCCCTGGGAAACTCGACATGGCTGTCTCGCCACACCCCACGCCGCTCAAGAACTTCTCCACGTAGCCCCGACCATGTTTGCTGTCTCATACCGCCTCAAGTCCCTTCTGCTCGCACCTCACAAATTTCAGCTGTCGAACAGCGCTTTCGCGTCTTGGGTGCCGACGCGGCGGCAGACCTCGCCTATGTTTCACTTTCAACTGGCACGGCAACCGTCGAGCTTGCTTCCCCGACGTGGTCAATGCTCATGGATACGCTCGCATCTCATGATATCAATGGTTCCGTTCTGTCTTGCATTGCGGAGCGGTTAGGCGTCCCAGAATTGCTCCGGTTGGAACCTGCTCATGTGGTTTCTGTTCTGCATTACTTGTCTACATATGTGCAATTGGCCGATGCGGAGCGCAACCGCGTCATTATTCGTCGGCCAGATATTTTGAAAAGTCCTGAGCATCTGCGGAAAGCCGTTGAGGCGTTGGAGACCAGTGGCTTGCGACTGAAGGACATTAAGACCGTGGTTCAGCGATGGCCAGGTCTCTTGCTCTTGGATGCGAGAAAAATCAACCGGGTCACTGCATTTTTACAGACACCTGCAGTCGGATTTTCCTTGCCCAACTTGCGCTCCCTGCTGCGTAGAGCCCCGTGGGTTCTCGTCTATGACATCGGATCTGAAATGATCCCAGCCATTTCTTATCTCAAGAGGGTACTGGATTTACCGAACAGGGCGCCTGTGGATCAGTTTATTCGAGCGCGTCCCTTACTTCTTGGTACCTCGCCAGATGCAATGCAGAAGGTGACCGACTTCATGTCGGATGTTGTAGGCCTGACGCCTACCATGCTCAGTGTGGCATTGCGTTCCTTTCCCCCTCTTCTAACTTGTTCTATCGATGCCACTCTCGCACCCGCCGCTTCTTTCTTATCGAAAGATCTTTCCCTCGAACCGAACGAGCTAAAAAAGCTGGTCAGAGCATTTCCCACTGTTTTGACGCTGGATGTAGAAGGTGATATGCGGCCAGTTGTAAACTACTTTCGGCGGAAAGGTATCATCAACGTAGGAAGGATCGTAAAGCGGCTCCCGCCCATTCTTGGCTATGATTTGGACACGAACATAATTCCAAAAATGGAGTATATTGAACAGGAGCTGGGATTGTCTTCTTACGACATTTTGACATTTCCTGGCTACTTCTCATATTCTTTTGAGAAGTGCATTGAGCCGCGAACGAAGTTTTTGCAAGCAAAGGGCCGGTCCGTTACGGAATCCGGGTTGAACATGGCCCTGGGATTGAAGGATGAAGACTTCTGTGTGCGCGTTGCAAAAGTGCCAATATCTCAGTATTACGCTTTCAAAGCTGCCTTCCTGCTAGGGCGGAAAAATGAGAAAGCTGCCGTTGAGCCTACAAATGACGTAGTCAAGGAATCGAGAAACTCTAACGGAGATGAGGAAATCGGTGATGAGACAATCGGTGATGAGAGAACAACCCAAAACGCGTCTCGGAGACTATCAAACTCCAATGGAAAACGCAGAAAACGAAAATTTCGTACGACACTTTCCCGGATGCCTTGGAAAGAGTTGAAATAGAACTAATGTACTATACTGTATCCAATTGCCACCCCTCAACTCTCACCACTCAACGAGAAAGGTGACATTAAAGACCTTGTCTAATTATCCATCCAATATTACCCTTTCCACTATTTGAAGCGACGTCACACAGAGGAGAGTAGATGTTGCATTTGACCAGTTCAAACAAATACTCGTGCCACTCCCCCAGAGCTTCCAAGCGCGCACATGAATTTTGTGGTGTTTACTACTCTTCATGCCCGACACGGTACGTTCAAGATTTCTTCCACATCCGTGGTCCCACGAACGAGCTCCGTCTTTTAGTGAGTTGAACTGGTGACGCTCCGGCCAGTTTCAATTCTCAGCACAAGAAACGCTTGCGATCTTTCTATGCGAAGGAAGATATCGATATCTGTTCATTTCTGAAAGTTCCAGTTCTTTATTAAGGTCTGCTATATTATGAAGTTCAATTCTGATATTCCCGAGAACAATGGCAGCCTAGAAGCAGTTCTTATCATGCTCGCAAAGGAATGCCTTGTCAATAAACCGGAGAATGTTGAAAAGTTTTGCCTAGAAGTGCTGGCTGGAAGGCAACAGATGCAAGTGTCTCCCATTGTGAAGTTATCACGGGGCCTAAGTTTGGCAGTTGATGAAAACCTTTGCGATGTCGAAGACGACATTGCGAATGCTAAAGGGGGCCATATTCCGGAGCCAAGGAAAGAAAAAACTCGTCAAAGGGGCTATCAGAGCAGTGACGAAAGCGAACTAGAGGAGGTTCGCAGTGTTGCTTCTTATCATTCTCACTTTGACGATGCGGAAGAACTTGGGGTTAGCGACGTGGATGAAAGCGCGAGAGTTAAGACGGCCAAGGCTCTCGACGGAGGCTGTCATAATGATGATCTTGCTCACCGTACGTCTTGCTACCTGTTTTCGAAGGAAGCGATTTCATCTGAAGAGTTGGAACGGGAGACAAAGAAATACTCGACAGACAAGAGAATGAAGAGTCTGTTTAAGGCCTGGGATGGGGATGACAGTGGGGCAGTCGATTTCGTGGAACTTGTGCTTGCTCTCCACAAGTTTGAGCAGGTTGCTCACGCCGGGATCGACATACAAGTAGCTTCAGACGCTTTGTTAGAGTTCGTGGAATCGGAGACTGAGCGAGAATTGAAGTTCCAGGAGTTCTGTCGGGTGATTATTCTTTTCGCTCTTAACAACTTCAATAAGAACTTTAACGAAGTTGCAGATCATATGCTTGAAGTGGCCAGAGGAACAAGTGAGGCAGCTGTTTTGCACGCAAGAACTGGCAGAGACACGAGTGAGATTGAAGCGGCCGACATGGAAGAAACCGCTTTTCTTAGGGAGACTGTGAAATGCATGGAGGATCAGGTGACAGACAATATCCAAAAGCTGCGGTCAAGAAGGGTAGCCTTTCGCCAAGGAAGCACTCCCCGAAGCCAGACGAAAAGTCAGAAAGGGAGATAAGAGAAGGCCATCAGAGTTAGGAAATGGGAATCTCACAGCTTTCATCTACTAGTAAGGGAGAAGTTAATGACTGCACTTAATTGATCGCTGAAGCGCTATTAAAGATGGCATTTTGCTACCACAATTTTGTCATCCTCTTCTACGCAAAGGCTCGTAAGGTGACTAGGCGCACTGCTGTGTTCACATCCATATCATGAATTCGTCGAAAAGAGCAAGGCGGACATATTGTACAATGCTGTGGTCTTAATGTTTCCGGATATTGTTTTTGTACGACTCGTCGGCGGCAGAGTTGCTCAACCAAGAAAAGACGTTGATTTTGTCCAATTCATTGTAGGATTGTTCTTAAAACTGTAGACTCTGAGGAAACGTCGATTCTGCAGGTGCGTGGCGTGAGGCGCGACGGCACTCATGCGTAATCCTTCGGACTCTACTCACAAGAAAATAGTAAAGTGGATCCAATCTTTATTCGTTCATGTTATGCAATGAGTATACGAATCAGTTGTGATACTACTTTGAGAAGAGAGGGAGGAATTAGGCATGGTGCCCGTCGCATGTAACTCCGTAGGGCCTTGCCTCATACGTGGACGGAGTACGCGAGCGTTCTTGACGGCGACCAATGTGTTCTAGAGAACCTGCGACACCAAGGGTGGGTGAGCAACGAAGCTACAGCGAATCAGCGTGAGTACAGGAAATGGTCGTGATGCAAGGGACACAACTGAAAATGCAGGAAGGGGTGTGCCTGCTGTACATTTTCGTAGAAAAATACAGGGGGGGTCGCTCAATAGTGCCTACTTTAGTAGTGCTTCCCTCTATATAGTGCTATGGCTCACCCTCTGGCACAGGTTATCATTAGTTCACACGTGTATCATCCGGCATGGTTCAGTACTCAAAGGATGAAGTTATTTTGTCTCTCTATGGGTGCTTACATGGGCTTACACTACCCGGCCCCCTCCGCCGGCGAGCTCCTGTGGTGGCTCCCGTGGTTGCCCCCCAAGATACTGATGCCAAAGTTGGCCACCCTACCTTTGTTGCAGAGTGAGAACGTTCATCAGATTTGTAAAGGCACCAAGCTACTTTTCTACAGCGAAGGCATTGGCCGGAGCGCGTTCTCGCTTTGAAAGCATTGGCCGGATCACCCACTCCCTTACTACCGCGCAACTACACAATCGCTCGAATGTACGAGCGAGAGCTCGCGCGAGGCTAAAACCCACCTATCAACGACAATCCGGATTCGAAGGTGTGATTTGTGCTTCCTTTGTTCCAATCTTCCCCCTTTCTACACATCCAAAGACCCCAAGTACCCTCCGTAACATGTGGCAAGACAATGCGCCCGCCGCTGCCGATCTTACAAACTACTCACCGACCGCTACAGATGGGGACACAGCTCCAACGGCCATGACAAAGGCACAAGCTTTTCAGCGTTATGCTCGCCTGCAGAAGATGGCCACGTGCATTCAAGAAGAGGATGACTTCTACAGTCAGTACCTCGGTTCCGCAAGAAATGTGCTTCATCTGTATCCTGTAGCGAAAAGTTCGGGAACAACGCAAGCAGTCATGCCTAAACCAATAGAGGTTTGCGAGACCATCTCTGACATGCTACCGCCCCTTCATCTGTCTTTACCGAAGAATACTACAGCCGACCCACATTCCCGATCAAGGTTCTTTACAGCATTGCCGAACTTTACGGCTTTGATGACATACCTGCAGACTTTGTGTCAGAAGTGTTTCTCCGTGACCATGAACTGGCCCACAAAAGTATCATGAACCAAGTTTGGCTTGCATTTGTACTTGGTTTGGACCCCAGTTCAACTCGTTCGGTTGTGGACAAATTCAAGCAGGCACGTGCCCTACATTCTCGGCGAACGGGTGGCACCCCAACAGTTAGAGCTGCTTCCAACCCCGGAGGCTCATCCCAGAGGACAGCACCGGACGTCCCGGCACCGGTCCCAGGTCCCGCCACGCCATTGTTGCAGAGCATTGCTCGGTATTCTCCAGGTTCCGAGTCAGCTGCGTTGTCTTTGACACTGGACAGGTCCGCGGCTAGGAGCTACCCTCTCCCCTTACAACCATGAACCCCTTGCAACCGAGAGAACCCCGCCGTCATCGGACTCGAGGTGCCGATTCCTTCAATAACTCCCCCGATTGGGGGGACACTCGCAAGGCAAACTATGTCCGCCAGCAGTTCTTTGGTCAGAAGTTCACTGGCGACTTGTCGCAGTCGGTGGAGCTTCTTCTCCGAGACTACGAAGCATGCGCATGCCAGCACCGGTTGAGCGCGGTGCAGAAGGCGGAGTACTTCATGAACGTACCTGAGGGCCCTGCCCGTACCTTTCTGCTGAACCAATACAGTCCAGGAATGTCGTATAACCAAGTGTACGACCTCATGAAGCGCGAGTACAATAGTGACACCTAACAACTACAGGTCCAATCCACACTTGAGGGCCTGAGCCTGGACGCTTTCATGTCCGCGCGCTCCCTGACCACACACTCAGAGGGTTTCACTAATCTTGTTGAGAAGATTGAACTCCTCACGCCGCAATGCCCCCTGGATTCCGATCTGATGAGAACAAGATCCGCTTCTTGCGGAAGGCAGTTCTCAGCTGCGAATGGCTTTAGCTCCTATTCGGAACATAGTCTCACATCACTACAAGTTCCATTCTTTCGTGACGGCATTACATGAAAGCCTACAGCTGTCAAATGAGCTTAAAGAGGCCCGCCCGCATGCATTCGCAACTCGAATAACTGAGCTGCAAGAAGAAGCTGCAGAGATATTTTCCAACGCTACGGGCGCCACCCTCGTGATGTTCGCAAGCATTTACCAAGACACACCGAACGAAATCGATCCACCGCGGCGCCCCGAGTAACAAGCAACGGCCGCACATTTGAGGAAGCGCGTCGTCGCAAGGAGTGCTTTAAATGCTCCCTTCAATGGAATCCTGCTCATCTCTGCAGCTCCGGTGCAATCGAAGCTAACGCGCGCTCACGGCTTCGCAAAGGGGAATCACATGTTCACATCATCCGAGACTGCGTTCTCGGGATGGAGGGAGAATCTCAGGTTGGTGACGATACTGACCTTCCTGGGACGGAGGGAGATCCCACTCACTTCGCAGAAGCTGCAGCGCAAGAGTTCGATGACGCCTTAGCGATCGCTGGTGTCGAAGGTGATCATGCAGACGACCTGGACAAGGAATTCGGGACGAACATCGTTTCTGCCAGCTTGTCGCAGCAGATGCCTCCATCGAATTTTCGTCAAGGCGATGTGGACCCGCACCTCATCTGCATCGCCCAAATCATGCATCCGACCAACCTAGGGCTATATCCCCGCGCCGTCAGATGCCGGCGCTTGAAGTTGACTGTACGAAAGTTCTTATCGCGGATATCAAACGTGAATGCTCAGCACGCCGCCCTCTCGGCTTCTGCGTTGACATTGGTGCTCCGAAATCAGTTGTTGGCAAGCGCGAGTTAAATCACCTCCTCTGCGCAGTGAACAAGCACAGTCGAGACATTCGCCGATCTGAACACCGCTTCCGATTTGGAGA